GAGAGGCAAGGAGCACTGTACAAGGTGTAGCCTGGGCCAGAGAGGAGCCCAATGTGCTAGATAGTTATAGACTCAAGTAGTACAATAAACACCCACTCACAATACATATACCTGACTGGTCAGAAAAATGGGAAAGGTGTGCGCCCTGACATATTACAAGGGGCTCAATACGGCGACTACGGGTACTGATTTATCTGATGGAGGATCTTTGCGTAGTGTACCTGATTAGTCTTAGAGATACACAAGCCTTGGCATGTGTCTAGATTTGGAGGAAAAATTAGCAAAACTATCCGACAATTATCATCCAAATTCATGATGCTAATTTTGGCCGTAAAAGGGAATAACAGCACTTTGTGGTCCTACTTGAGGCATAATGATGCTTGTTCTGCAAGCTCAGAGAGCCAACATATCCCACACAGTCACCGGCCGAGAAAGTCCTGTAATCAAGAGCAGTGGTTCAAGAGTATGTCTGATTCGTTGTTAACGGACATTCTAAACTTTGACGTCTGGTTTACTTTTTGCTAATGCAGAGTCAAAGCCTGCACCCAACATGTTAGTTCTTTGGACCTAAACCACACCATCATCTTCCACACGAATTGGAGAAAACCGAAAAAGAACGGTGAACCCAACATTAGACTAAAAGTGTTATAAATATCTCTCGGGTATCCTTCCGGGTCTTCGACTTAGTAGTCAATTTGATATAATCAAAATTTGTCTTACAATCCATAGGCTGAGAGTACAAATGCCTCCTTCACGCCTTGTTTTGCGCCGTGATACCCCCACATACCTTCATCCGAGTACACATTTAGAGGAGCCGTCATCGCGTTGTCGCTTCCCCGACCCGACCCACAAAACGAGGGCAGCTTGCGGGTGTGAAACTGCAAGGAATATTGTCGAAACCACCGAATGCGAGGCTCTCCTACTGCCGATATCAGGACTAAATTCAAAGACTAAGCTGACCTTTAGATGCGTTCAAAAGAGCTGTCTATACGGGAGCAGCAGACTTTTGTAAAGCGTTGTTTCTTAATTTTAGAGCGACGGCTACTGTAAATTTTCTTGGGGAGAATTAACAAATAAGTAATATTAATTTTATATATACCAACTATCTCTATCCCAGGACTGCTATCTAAAGGAACTCTAAACAGGAAAAGTTTTCCACGTCAGCTCTGGCCACATTTCCTTCTGTGGCTATTGCATGACTAATCCAATCATGAATGGGGTACTGTATACGAGAGTATTCCTACATAAAGCTAAGAGCATCTTTTCAATTCTCAGCCTTTATTAAAGTTCTGGAGATATCTGGAATGATAGAAGTGAACGTTGACCGTCAAGTCAATACTGTATGAATCGTAAGATATTGGGGAATTTAGTATCAGAGAAAAAAGGTTAGGATTAGGGAGATTTTTGGTTTTAAGGAGCTTATATTTGTTAATAGTGCTAGGTTTTAATCTACATCTAATTTTCTGTGTTCTACCTCGCTTAGGTAGGAACATTGTGTTCTGATTACGTGATGGAATAACATTCCCACCATCGAGATCGTTACCAACCGAATCCTTACCAAAGCAAGTAGTGATCGAAGATGAGTAGTCTTCGTCTACTCCGCACTGCATGCAATTTGGTCGGGTATGTCTCAGTTTTAAAAGCTTTCCCTTAACCCCTCAACTGATTCGTGACGTAGGAAGAATTAAAGGTCATGAAATTATTTGAGAAAAGTGTTGGCCGAGAGTGATTACCGTGAATTATCGCAGTCTAGTATCCAGAAATCGTCACGTACGCAAGGTTGTCGAGTATTTTGGGTGTCCTTCTAACAGATGGAGTCATAATTTGTGATTAGAAGAGATAATTTCGATGACTAATTGAAGTCTGCTTTTCTTGAGGGCAGAAGAGTATTTCACTTTGCTTTCGCGGGATTTTGTATACCTAACAGCGGGCATCAAATATTAGAGTATGAAGAGTGCTCCTCTAACTATTATTTCAGTGGTTAGAAAAGTTATTTTCGTCTTATTTCTTCGTATCATTATCGTGATCGTCGTGAGCATTATCAGAAGCATACCTTTGAAAGAGGGAGAAAAACTTAGCCTAAAGTTGAAAAGAAATAATTAACCGCAACTCTATGGACTGTATAATGAGAGCTAGAGGTTTGTAAGAGATATTAATGGCAGGTCAAGAGTCACTGTCCCCTAAATTTTCACTTTCCAGGCCGCTGGACTGGTATTATTCCAAAATCCTCTGCACTTTAGCAAAGATCGTACCGTTCATGTAACATACAGCTGATGCAATTATTTGTAGCTCACGTGGTCCAGCACAGCTCAAGTAATATAAAACTCCCATTCAAGACGGGGGAAGCTGATGGCTAACTACAATAATTTATATATATTCTTGACTATTGTCGTATCTGGTTGCTATGTGCAGGCCCATGAAGACTAATTGTATCGTAAAGGGAAAAGCTTTGAATTAGCAAAATTGGGCATCTCGCAAAGACAGTAAAAGCCATTTTTAGACAGAAGCTCTACTTTTCTATCACATCCTTCAGTATTTCTCTTAGCTCTTTAAACTCATCCACCGAAAATCAACTGCTCAGATCAGGTTAAACAATGATGGCACGTTCTCGTTGGTCCCCGATCTTCGGAGTGTTTGAAGAGATGGTTGGGATGGTCGTGTCTCCACTGACGCATTAGTTGTAGCCGCTAGGCTGGAATTTCCTTTCGGAGTTGCCCTTGCCAAATCCTTAATGCGTCTATATTTTTGTTGGCGATTAAAGCGAATCCTTGATCATCACTAACTTTTGCCGTTGATTGTGCTGCCGCTGGATCAAATTTTTTGTCGTCGGATATCAGCTGTCATTTCCAGAGGCTCGAAATAGGTTTCATAGAAGCTTCTCTTGAACACCTGAAATGTTGGACACGTCGCTCTCTGCTATGAAAACTTTCTTTTACCGCAGCAAACGCAAGATATCTGTTCCCTTGGACAGTCACGAGCAAGGGGTGCCCTAAGAGATCAAGTCTGCAATATGTACAGCATGACATCGAAAACAATACCGTGGCGAACTTCTTGTTCTTTCAAGGCTCCTGAGGGATGACTCAGAATAGTAGACCCTGTCGTGTGACCAATCTTCTTAGCTCGTTGTCTCTCCTTGCTATGCTATGTTCATCATAATATGTTGGATTTGATACTTGAAATCCTAGCCTTTGTCGACTCGCAAATCTCTTGAGTCAACTTAGAATTGTTGGCATCACTGCTTCCTATTTCTACACTCGGTGGGAGCCCACAACCCCCCACGGAAAAATCTTGCTTTGGTAATTGAAAAGCCTCTAGTTAAGCTCGTTTGAGAGCTTCATTGCTTAGGGGTGCCGTCTGTACGAACACCTCTGTGTCGTTACTCCTTGGTTATTAAACTGCTTGAGAATTTTAAATTTACTTTTATGTATTTGTTTGCAGCTGTGATGGCTGCCTATTTTTGCTCCCTCCATCTTTCAAACTGTTGGTATCATAGGTAACGATTGGATCCAATCAAAGGGGGTCTGCTGTCATTATATGTGAATGATGTCTATTCTTTCTAAGGAGATGGCGATGCTGTATCTAGATGATTACATAATTAACACCAGAATTACACGTGATTACGCCAGTTCTACTGATATACTCCAAACACAAACATCTATCAAAAATCTGATAGCTTGAAAACTACTGAATATAGTAATGAGAATCATTGGATATTGGGATGACACATCTTTTCGGATTAACTTCCTCGAGCTTTGATATCTCACCAGGGATATGGTGATCAAGATGTTCAGGATATTCTGGATGTTCAAAGCTCCAACTTGGGATCTTTTGATCTCCAACACATGTAAGATATTTCATAGGTAATTTTGGGAAACGAGGAGAAGATATTCTCTCCCGGGAATAGTTTCCGATGGGTATATAGTATCAAGGCCGGAGAGGAGTTGAGGAGCAGAGATTTCATCAATACAATTTTACTTTGCATTTTTCATTTGACCCTCAGTATCTAACACTACCTCTATCTTGACCGCTATTTTTGCCATTGTAGGCGCGACGACTGATGCGTACGTCCTTAGGACCAGCAACCCTGGAGCCATTTACGGAACCGACTTTCGAGAGGGATCTTCAAGATTATTTTCTATAGCCTACTCGGGGGTCGACATTCTTTCCTTTATCAGAGATTGCTCTGGATTCATCTCCTCTTATTCCTTCCTGTGAGCATTTAAGACCATTACAGCCTCTCTCACTTCCTCCATGGTAGGTATATCGGCATCATGCAAACTTTATGACCTTGACTTCTTTAGTAAGGGCCTCAAGCTTTCAATATTCTTTTTCAGCGGTGCTGGGGGTGTTTTCTTTTAATTTCATTTAAGTGTATTCAGCTATAGAGCTACGACAAATGACCGGTGCTATGTATACATGTTGGATGACTCTTTTGACGTTAGAGGCACACATGCTCTGGATTTCATTCGCAAATACCAAGCGGAGCTAATTTGTACCACTGCCTTCAGAATAGGATGCTATTGTCGCTGTTTGCGATGAATCGAGATCGCTAGATTTACCCACTCCAGCTCCGACATTCGCCATAATTTCGCATGGTAAGCTTACTGTTGGTGTAGAGGCAAAGAAATGAAAGAGGGTTAATTTTAGGATGTCAGAGTCCGTATGAAACACTCTATGTTATTCGCGTAATACGATAATTCAACAAATTAAGTGATGTTACGAGTACTAGGAAGCAGAATGAGATACTGGTCAGAGATGCATGCAGAGTGATCGAATATTTCACACATCTAACCACTACCTAAAGTAATATAGTACTCTTCCGCTGATCCTGATTCCGCAAGCTTCTCTTATAGTTACCGAGTAGAGCATATTTCCAAGAAATAAAGTCATAAAACTACCATACGTTTGAATATCATTTGCAAATGATTTCATCCCTTCATCCAAGGCGATTTTTAGAATGCACATCATAATGTCGTGTTATCACCATTCGTTAAGCCCCCCTAACCACCAACGCCTTTCCCAAGCAATACCAGATTTGCTACATTCATAAACGCGATTATAAGCCAGATAATTACTGCAACTGCAGTTGTGACCCAATTGTTAGTCATCTTCATCTCAGACTGTGGTGCATCTCTTTCATCAAGATTTACCAGCTCATTTCGAGTGACCACCTCGTCACAGTACTGTGGGGAACGGACAGTCATGTAGCGGTCCCGGCAAGTAAAAAAAATCAGCGGCGCTGTAATAAACGGAAGAGTTATACTAAGAACCACTTGAGAGGCGTTTAACACATCGTTGAGTCCCTCTCTTCCAACAGCTGCAGCAATGACAATACTCGGGACGATACTAATACTCCTAGTTATAAGCCTTCGTAGCCATGGTCGAAGCGTCCAATTTAGCGAGCCTTCTGCTACCATCTGACCAGAGATAGTGCCTACAATCCCGGCACTTATCCCGCTTAGAAGAAGAGAAAGAGCAAAAATTGTACCAGCAGCCGAAGAAAGATTAGTTGAGAGAAGGTTGTAAATACCAAAAAGATCAGCTTCGCCTACGGGGGTACCGTAGAGAGATGCACCAGCAGTGATGAGAATAGCGCTGTTGACAAAGAGAGCAAATATAAAAAGAGAAATAGTTAGTTCAATAACAAACATTTTTAGACAAGCTTTGATGGCCGAAGGCGACGGCTGGTATGGCAATTTGTTTTCCAGCTCAGAGCTTGTCGATGCAGGAATAATACCTCGCTTGACATCATATTCTCGCAGACGTGGTTGTACTAAGCCTGAGCCAAGATAGAGACTGTGTGGCATGACTGTTGCGCCTAAAATACCACAAGCTTGATAAAGTCTACAAAGTTAGCGTCTAATTTCTTTTTAATTACTTGGAACACCCATACCCTTGAGATTGGAAGACTTCTCGGGATGGAAGGTATCCTCGGAAAACCTCAACCACTGATGTATCTTTGATGAGACTTAGCTGAAGACAAAAGCAAACAACCACACCAAGAACGAGGACAGAAACAAAACACTCAAACGACCGAAGGTATTTCATTGACCCATTTGGATTGTAGAAAAGTAAAATGAATAGTACGTCGATAATTGATAAAGCACAGCCGACTACCAGAGGTATTTTCGGGATTAACAGATTGATTGCAATTGCAGTACCAATTACTTCGGCAACGTCGGTTGCAATAATCTAAACGAGTTAGATTATACGTTATGGGGATAAAAACTCTTACTGCTAGTTCAGCTAGTCCGTACAGAAAATAATTTAACCATCTAGGGAGGAATGCTCGGCATGCTTCCGCTAGATTAAGGCCACTGACGCTTCCCAGTTTGATGCAAAGACTTTGCAAAAAAATTGCAAAAATATTGGACATCAAACCAGCGCAGAGTAGCTTGAATCGAAATGTTGCTCCCGCAACTACTCCGGTTGAATAGTTTCCAGGATCAATGTAAGCCACAGATATCTGAAGATTTTCAGTTCTTATAGCCCGAGAAATAAGGGGATCAGAACATACCATGAAACCTGGACCTACGAACCTCAAATACTCTTTGGACTTTGCAATAATAGTTTGGAGGAATTTTGGTGCCCGAATCTTTTTCCCCTTGTTTCCAACAGTATTTCTGTCGTCATCACCATTCCCATGAGCATCATTATCGGCGTTCTCCGATGCCAACTGCTCATCGTTGGGCCTTCCATCATTTTCACTTCTTTCGCATGAAGGTCCATCCTCGATGAGTGGTAATACAAGGCCTAGCTCTTTCGTTCTATCATCTTTACTCATTTTTCGAGCACGCAAATTTACTCTCCCATTTAGATCCTCTCGAGTTGTAAGATCTGCTGCTAACCCCTTTGGATTTTGGTTGTATCCATCGTCCTCTATCCAATCTACTCTTGAGGGACAATTCATGATGCTATTATTCTCTGTCTAGAGTTCAATGTGAATGTACCGGGGATGCAAGAAGTTTGATGAGATCTGCCGTCCGATGGCTACTGAGAGCGTAATGGAGGAATTGTGTTGAGTGCTCACAAGTGCAAGTGCCGAAGTATTTATCATAGAGCCAGATACCCCAAAAATAGAACGCACTAGACGTGAAGATTGGTCAATGACTTTCGCGAGGAGCTGCGGATGCGGGAGGGGCAGAAACCTGTCAAGGTATCTGCAGTACGAGTCCCATGGCACTTTTGATCACACAAAGGTTAGTGACAATTCTGGACTAGATCCCAATTTTGCACTTGCCTAGTTTGACATCATCTCTGACTAATACTAACGATATTCTTGGGAGAAGCTGCCCAATGTTAGTACCTTGTCGATGGTGCTTCGGATGAGATTATTAGGATTCAGAGAACGACATCTAATCCAAATTGAATACACCAATGAGCCCGCAGATGCTTCTGACTCAATCAAATTTGCTCAGACTAGCCAGAATTTGACAGCTATGAACATAAACCTTAGCCCCCGCATGTAATTTAACTGTCAGACTAGCGCAGGACCTATCACAAAAGGCAGATAAGCTGATATTAGGTTGGAATAGTGGAATGTGGAATATGCGATCGTGCGCACAAGCTCATGAAACGAGGGTCCGTACCTTGATGGTCCCAGAGGAATTGAGTATTTCATCTAGACAGCGAAGGGCCGTGTTTGCTCGGTGATTCAACCGCGTCCAGGCATTAGTCAACAAGTTAGGGCAGTGGTTGCGGGCGCCGATTCGAGGTAATTCTGTATCGGTCCGGTCCAGCATTCTTAATATAGAAAACGCTCTCGCCCATCAACAATGTTCGCCATCTATGTGTCTTCCACCATCCCACTTGCTAAATTACAGCCCTGTGAGTTTTTCATTGTCGAGCATAATTGTGGTGGATTATGGTCATCATAGAACCTCACTTTGAAATAGATTACCTCTAGAATTACCCGACTTCGCAGCTGAACTTTTCTTTACAAGCTCCACCACACTGCCCACAGTCATCCACAAAGGCTGAATCGGTGAATCCCATGAATTTTGCTTAGGGGATTGAACTGTATCCGAACCTGGCATTCGAAGGATGCTCTAACGTCTCCATCGTGTTGAGGCTTGGATGTTAAGTGACTGGGAGTCAACAATAGCCATTCACATCAAATCATCCAATGGTAGAGTAAGGGTAGGTGAATGCCATATCCATAACCACTCGGCTAGACTGCTTGAAAGAGAACACAACAAAGCGGAATCTCGTCTTTGTTCAATTCTAGGCACAGCCATACCAGTAATCACCCTAATCAGACTGACATTATTTCATCACTACGGCTTTGTATTTTTATTATACATGCAAGGAAATAAGTATCCTGCGCAATTTTAGTAGGAATAGCATGACCAGTGCACGTTAAGATCAGGAAAATCGCCACACTCATTCATTATTTTAATGCTATCAAGCCTCTCTATGGCTCTATGACAGCACCAGAACCAGACATGGTTTTCAGTGAAAAGAGCCATTTACGTATCTGAACCCGTAATATAGAGTGGATTAAGGCTGAATACCTGTCGGTGGTGTCCTAAGAATCTAGAGGATAAATATTCTACCATAGCCGAGCTCTATTCACAAGAAGAGGTTGTTGTTATAGTGATGCAATGGCGGTCGGGAGGAGTAGCGTTGGCTTATTTTTGGTCGATAAGCCGACATCTAGAAATCGTCGACCACTATCGGCCAGTAACGACGAATTCTTCATCTTCTAGTGGTGCCAGTTTAATCGCTAAACATACTCCGCATGTCTGGGACAGCTAAGAAGTATCGCATCCGAATGGAGGTCGAAATCAATCACAAGCATATCTAAAATTGAAGGCTTCTCATGAGTGTCGACCCTTTCATTCTCGCGCGAGTCCTCCAACTCTGTCTTACCACAAATCACTTCGCCTCAACGACTAAACAAGGAGTTCACCTCGCAAATAACTAGCCGTCTCCTTCTATCAAACAATGAAGCTACGTACATCCATAATGAGGAAATGAAGTCGTAGAATATAAGCTCGGAAGTTGGCTTGTGATGAAATACTAATCTATTGAGGCTCTACGGTTAGAGGGAGTATAGGTAGCTGGGATTTAGAGAGAGAGAGAGAGAGAAAAAGTTATTGATGGGAATCCCAGAGCAGATTTTTTCTGAAGATTCTTCGACTCTGGGATGTTTTGGGCGCTAAACTATGGCTCGAATAAAGCTTCCGACATTTATAAAACAGGACGCGCCATATATGCTTCAGTAGATAGAGCCGTAGGAAAATAACTCGATTCATTATGGCAAAGGTTGGAGCAAGTTAGGGTGGAGTCGTAGAAATCGGTCCGATAGTGGAAGAAGTAGGGATGTGGTGGCAAGGCATGGAGCTCCGTAGCTAGAAATTGTGGTCAACTTATTTCTTCTTAGTTCAATAAGAGCTGATAAATCGGGTAGTAATGAGTATGTCGGAGTTAATTACCCGTATCACCTCTTTTGGATGCAGGATCTATACTTGGCATGTCAAAACTATCAAATCAAATGCGTTTTTGTCTCGCCATCTAGCGAAGTGTTCCATGACCCAAAAGTCATGATTTAACCCTAAAAGGCAGGAGAGTTTCCAGCTTTACGCAACAGCAGCGTGCTCTGAAGTTACGATCGAACGGCCTTAGATGCGTCGTCGTTCCAGCCAAGGGTGCCATAAACTCTACCTGCGGCGAAGTAGGCACGATATTTCGCGGAACATGACAGCATTTGATCAAAGCTAGGACATTCATACTCTAGTCTGAGGTTCTTAGTAATACTTTCAGCTTCCACAGTTATGGTTCGAAGGCGAAGGGGCAATGCCGGAGGGCTGGACAGATTCTAGGTTTCCGAGATGGGGAGATTGGCGAACGGATCAAGATAACGCTAATTCGGAGGAAACCTCAATTGGCGAGTGTACGAGGTTTCCTATGATGAAACTGACCCCTGGATGAGATGAAAAGGTGCGAAGACGAGACAAAGCTCAGACTGAATGGAAAGTAGAATAAACTATGGTGGTCGGGTCCGAAGACCAATTTGCGCCTCTATACATGAGCACTGTAACTGGTATGATTTAGCTCATGGTTGAATCTTAGGCCGACCAGTCGTTTGGAGAGGGGCGGGACGAGATTCATGTTGTTGAGAAGTACTCCATTCGTAACTCTGAGCCGAATAATGGCCAACCAGACGAATAACAGCATGGCCTGTCATGTAGGGATAGAGGGACAGAAAGGCATCAATTCGGAAATCGGTTCAATTTCAAGATGTTTGAATAGCGTAGAGCTGAAAAGGTTTTTTATCGATTTGGTTTTGTTTAAATGCGACGACGAGCCGGTGCACAGCTCGTGGGCCCTTCACGTACCGCTTAGGACAGTCTCGGTTAAGCTACCCAACGTATGGGCGCCTCGACAGACCCAACACAGTAAATAGAAGACAGCATCTTAGCATCTTGCACTCGAAGATTGAATCATACATGAATGTCAGCCTCTCGTCGCACCGCATAATCTACAGGTGGGATGAAAGAAGGAGCAAACTAGCAATATCAATTCAGAGCCCTCTGGCTTCTCATTAGATGATTTATCTTTAATGAGAGTTGTAGTTGTGCCCTTTCAAAGACACCTGCGGCACCCACCCAGCTATTAGGCGCATACACTCCCTCCGCTGAAGCTGGGGCCCATTACAAGCTGGGAATGGAATTCCGAGATCTGTGGAGCTCGACCTGGTAATAGAAAAAGGGATTAGGGGCTTTCTCTTCCCCACATGAGCAGGTTAGAAGAGAGAGCATTGTGAATGTCGCTGGAAGCATCAGTGTACAGGAGTCATGTGCGCGATATCTATACACATGTCCTATTCCTGCCATAGATACATGTTTTACTCGGTATATGATGTGGGAATAAAACCTTGCGCTGGAACAGCTATAATATTTCATGAAGAAATATCCTCATTGATATGTAGAGGTTAAGTCTCTATGGGTATTGTTTTAGTGTAGGTCGAGGGAAGCTCGTGTCTTATCCCCTAGCTAGTTCGCGTGTAGATGTTATACTCAGCTATGTAGTATGGTAGATCTTATGGCTGGCGCATAGGTAGTTATTATGGCAGTATGGCATTATGGCGCATGAACGAGACCCAGCCCCACATAATAGTCGACCGATGATGTGAACTGTATGAAGCGCACCAAAGTGTGCTCCTCAGTGAGCGACTATGCCAGTCATCCAATATCAACAACCCATCTCCCATACTTCACAATTCGAGAAAATTAGAGTGCAGACGACACTATATACACCGCCATTGTTGAATGGTGCGGTGGTACATCATCTTGGCCGGTCTGCCAAGTAGAGCCTGGATAGCTTGGACACATATCCCACTCGAGACACTAGATCGCTAGTTCGAATCCGGCAAAACACCACCACATTTCTCGCGGCGCTGGCATGCTTGGATAACCAAAGGTTTTGAATTTCCCTTTGGTGGGTACTTACGGAGGAGTTTCAACTGTTTGTGTAAGCAAACATACCTCATAGTGGGATTTGCGAATGAAATACAGAGTATGAGTGTCTCTAACGTTAAAAGAGTCTTCCAATATGTATACATAGCATCGGTCATGTGTCACAGCTTTATAGCTGAATACACATTAGATGATTTTTTAAAAAGAAAAGAGATAAAAGAAGTAGATAGGCTAGGAGAAGAAATCACCTAGAGATGGAAGGGTTGGATGGTGCAGTGGTACACCATTCGCACTGTTCTCCCAAGTAGATACCAAGTGGATTGATCACTTAGCCCATGCGGAATGAGAGAAAGCTGGCTCGAATCCGGGTAGATATATACGCCACTGTATCACGCGATGACATCATACCCATGGGATGATGAAAGCACACTCGGCTAGCCGTATGTTTTCTCACGTTTGTCCCTGTGGTGGGTTTGCACGGAAGATAAATAACGATCCTTTTAAGTTCTATTTGAGTTTACAGCTATGTAGGACAAACTATTTAAAGAAAACTTATCTTTTCCATTCTAATTGGGGTTTCTTTAATTTGATGGTGGGTATAACAGTCTAAGCATAGGCACTTGGGCAACCTTATGGTCAGAGGTAGTTTATTTTCAATCTATGGTGAACTATAGATCGAAGAGGATAATAACAGCTACTTTATACATGATTATTATCCCAGCCAATGACACGGCTTTCTATCCGTTTACCCGTTTGCCCGTATATCCGCACATCCATTCTCGTATCCCACTCTCGCGCCTCATTCTCGGAAGTTATACAATATTGATATTGCTACTTGTAAGCTCCTACTTCCGAGAATAGGCTCCGCCTAGTGCCACGCTAAGCCTACGTTGGACAGCGTAGGCTACAGGTAATTATCGGCTTATAAGCCGTCACAGTGGGATCCCCATTACTGGTTCACTATGCACGGAGGAGGTTATACGCCGTAAGGGTTAACCTCGAGTGGTATCTGCAAATGAAATCTGAGTGTGAGTGTTCTTATCGTCAAATTGAGTCATCCTACTTCAAGTACATATCTCCCGATAAAACCTGCATGGGCCTCAATGCGCCAAATCAGGATAATTAACTATATAAATATCTATATATATAGATATATATCCAGCGGTGGACAGAGACTATATAATAACGTGCACGCACCACCTGTGCTTACGCTATTGTACCTAGGGCCAGGTTGAGGCGAAGCCGTAACTTATTCAGCTCTAGAGCTATGACTATCCGCCCAAACTCCAGCATCCTTGCTTTATGCACATTCAAATAAAACTTGTGTCCCATTATTCAACACGAGCCACATTCATTTCAGCTAACTGCGACAAAAATTTCTCGGGGAACCTACATCTGAAACCCATCTCGCCACCTATCAGTGCATGTTAAAGTCTAGGAACAGCATAGTGTTACGGGCTGTGCCCCGTTCGATTAGGCTGGGCCTGAAAGATAGCCCAGCCTCGTTCAAGGACTTCGATCACGTGATCCAACGTGGGGTCGCTTCTCATGACTCAAATCACTCAATTAATTATGCTGAGGCTGGGAAACAGATCACTCAGTAGCGAAGGAATACGTGTCAGGAATCAAGATCACTGGTAGCTGCAGAGGGCATATTGAATGTAACAGATTTCCTGTTGTTGATCACTGTACAAAAATATTAATTCTTTGTGATACTGTTTACGTGCGGTGTCCGTAATTCTCTTCGCCATTAGTACATAGGAAGGTTAATGCATATCGACACAAACAATACGTAATGATTCTTCACAAGGATGATATTGTGGTCTGCAGCACAGGCTGGCACGGCGATACTCTGATTCATAAGCAGAGGGTGAAGGGAAAATAATGATGGAGAGAGAGAAAGGTATGTGTCGGTAAAAGGATCATATTTTGGCAGTATGGATTGTTCTACGTAGTTGCGTTATTCAGGTTGTCGTTAGGACACTGACAGGGGTCTGGTTTAGCTCATTAGCGAGGCGCTTGGAGTAGATGAAGGAAGGGGAGATGGAGAAGGAGAAGAAGAAGAGACAACGTTTTATGTATTTTGAGATACCAGTTAATTGAGATTATTCACCGACTTCGTGACGGCACCCAATTTGTATTACTTCGTGTTTTACCAACAGTATGTTTATTGTACTACTTGAGTCTATAACTATCTAGCACATTGGGCTCCTCTCTGGCCCAGGCCACGCCTTGTACAGTGCTCCTTGCCTCTCATGTTTCTTGAAAGATCATTGATATATTGCCCTTCATGAATAGCCAGGTGAGGCCTTGACACCGGGACCACATGAGGTGCGCATATTCATCCAAATCTCCCTTCTTTGAAACCACCATCGCCATATCGGGTGCTGGGTACGCCCTGGAAACTCATCGGATGGCTTTTCCTCCATGATCAAGGGTTGGTGATGAGTAGGGCTCCGACCCTACCATCTGATCTAATTGTGGTTAACTTCATGATAATGGTGATAGGGGAATGTGTTGAGAGATGAGGACGATACAGACGGCGCAAGCGATTGGGAACCCTCGTCGAAGTGAGGACGGTGTTACTCAATCTCTGCTCTACAGACTCTGCAGTGAGAGCTGGAGGTTCGTAGGGGACTCCACTGACAGGTGTTGAGAATAGTCCCCCTACAAAGACCTGTCTATACACCACACATGCAATGTGTGATGTATCAAGTGACTGATACTAAAGATGTCGTTAGCGCTTCCATAATCCTAGACTGCCGTGTAAGTCCCGGTGCAATCCAATAGCTCCAATCTACATCCAGAGCTACTTAAAAGAGATAAAGTTGAAAGACTGGCCTACTAAGGTCAATAAAACTATGCACGTAGTCATGTTTTTACAGTGGCATTCGCAAGTTGACCAGCATTTCTCCTGCCATTTACTAATGAGGTTCGATCAAAAAAAATTAAAAAAGAGGCTCGAGCTCATTATATTAAACAACTGTCAATGATCATTGTTAATTTCCCGTTACACTCCTCAACCAATGAGCACCATTCATCTAATCTTTCCCCCACTCATCTCACTCACTGCTCTCCCACTCTGATTATTTTTGAGTAGGGACGACTTCTCTGATAATTCCGGATTGAACATACGGTTGATCTGAAGCAATCTCAGTCATGTAAAAGATCCACTCGATTTAATTACAAGTATCACGAAGACTGAGTTAGTGTTTGAAAGATTCGGCTCCATATTCTTTGCCAGGACTGCCACAATAAGTTACTACTAGGCACCTCTGCTTTCGTAAAAAAATTCACAAATATACGATGAGAAAAATATTTAATTCGACTTCAATAGATAACGATGAAGTTTTGCTGAATATTCCCTTCCTGTCCAAAAACTATATCCAACATTCAGGCTTTGCTGTTCCTGATCAATACAGAACTACTTAACTTCAACACAACTCAAACCATCTAATCTTAAAGCACGTATACATATTGTCCAAGCCGAAAAATATTTCAACGGAAAATCCCAATCCAAGTCCAACTCCGGTCCTCCAACCTGATGCTGTGTATCTTTCTAATTTCCAGGCTTCTATTATCGGAGATCAGCTGCCCCCGCCGAAACCGCCTCTAAAGTCATTCTAGTAACCAATATCGCTGTCATAACAATCATCATCATCACCACTATGCTGAAATTCAATTAATTAAAGGATCACCATGCTCGATTCCCATGCTAAAGAAGACCTTTCCTAGTAGGTTTGCCACGTTCATTGTTACAATCACTAGCCAGATCATTACGGCAATAATGGTTGTTAGCCAGTTATTACCCATAATTTGATCTACCGGTATCGTAGACTTTTCACGAGTCTTTTTATTCCATTGTGATGGTTCATGGTCCGACCCGTTACGTCCATCCATTTCTTGACTAGATCTCCGCGATCGCACCGTCATATAACGATCCAGGCAAGTGAAAAAGATGAGAGGCGCTGTAGTGAAAGGTAAGATCATGCAAAGGACAACTTGAGAAGCCATCAGAACATCATCTAGTGCACCCTTGTTGCCCGAAGCGGCAATAACGAGGGTCGGCACCACACTAATACTTCTTGTTAATAGCCTTCTCACCCAAGGCTCCATTTTCCAATTGATGGCACCTTTCGAAACTATCTCACCAGCAACTGTGCAGATGATTGCAGCACTGCCACCACTAATGAGCAAAGCAAGGGCAAATATTGTACCTGCAGCGGATGAAAGCTCGCCCGTAAGAAGTGCGTGAATACCAAACAGATTAGCATCATCGGTTGGTTTACCGTAGAGCGATGCACCAGCAGTGATTAAAACGGCACTGTTTATGCAAAACGCAAATATAAAGAGTGATATTGATAGCTCGAAGGTACACAACTTGACAAATGATTTGATTGTTCTAGGAGAGGGCTGGTATGGTACTGATTCGTCAAAACCTGGACTCGACGCCGAGACGACACCATGTTTGATCTCATATTCGCGCAAACGTGGTTGAATTAAATCAGAACCTAAGTAAAGGCTATGTGGCATAATCGTAGCTCCAATGATGCCGCATCCTTGATAAATTCTACAAAGTTAGCTAAATTTTTACCACGGATGTCCTTGCTGAACTCACCCTTGGGACCTAAAGACATCCCGAGATGGAAGATAGCCGCAGAGAACCTCTTTGATGGTCGGGGCTTTGGATAAGCAAAGTTGTACACAGAAGCATCCAACCACACCCATAACGAGAGTCATGACGATAAATTCACAAAAGTGAACACCTTTCATCGAACGACTCTGACTTGATAAGGCTCGAACGAAGAGAACGTCAAGAATAGATAAAAAACATCCCACTATCATGGGCATTTTAGGCACCAGAAGATTGGTCGCAATGGTGAAGCCAACAACTTCGGTAACATCAGAAGCAATTATCTAGAAATTTTGATTAACGACACTCTCTTTTAGCAAGATTTGATTCAAAATACGTACGGAAACCTCAGCCAGTGCATACAAAAAATAATTAAGCCATTTGGGAAGAAACATTCGGCAAGCCTGGGCTAAATTAAGGCCACTCACACTCCCAAGCTTGACACATAAGGCTTGGAAGAATATGGCAAATATATTGGCCATTAGTCCTACACAAAGTAATTTGAAGCGAAAAGTCGAACCGGCCTTGACATCTATTGCATAGTTCCCCGGATCGATATAAGCCACGGATACCTATGAAGCAATCAGACAATCTCTTACTTGGAAGCTTCTAAGTTAGTTTGCTGAACTTACCATGAAGCCTGGACCCACAAATTTTGAACAATCCCTGAGCTTCTCACGGACACTCTCGATAAACTCTCTTGTGCCTCTCGCATCCCGAACTCGACTAGCTCTTCTTGATTGATTTATCTTACCGCTATCTTTTTTATAACTTATTTCTGCCGAATTCTCATCCAAGATGTATAGGACAGGACTCAATCCTTCCTTTTTCTCATCGTCGTCTCCTACAATCATTTCTACTACAATAGAGCTTGCTCTAGCCTTGGAGTCTTTCGACTCTAACTTTGTAATAGGTGATATAGGTAACGACACGGAAACATGTCTAACGCCGGCATTTTCTGCTTCCGATTTTTCGAAACTCGACTCGAAATTCATGACCCGGTATCAGGTTAGTGGGAAGATAGTTTGTCGTAATAATTGGTGAATTGGATATCTTATTGGTTAAAGGAGTGGCGAGGAAAGCTTGATGGGAAGACTTCCAAGCAACAGCCATTTATTTAGGAGCGTATATAAAGAGTAAGGAAAGGTAGATATCTTATGTAAAGATCTTAGTAATCAGGGCAGTTCCATAGTAATTAATGCTGTAGGGTCGTCTCCCTAACGATGATCTGATCAGATCAAAGCCACACACATTTACTCTTGCTGGGGGATCCTAAGCACTTTGCCAATTCTGGTCACGGGCTGGCAGTGGTAACTCTGTGGGGACATGCTAGGGTTTTGTGAACTTGGGAAATGGCTGTATTGGTTCATATCGGGTTTCGGGAACCGGAGAAATGAGAGATGAATTTCTGGATAGATGAACAAATTCATGAGACATGATTTAAACTTGCTAAACCGAGAGGAACTTAACCTTTTTTTCGGCGAATTTTACTTGAATCCGTACGCAATTTCTACGGCACATTTCGAAGTTGCAGTCGGTCTGGGATATTAGGAGTGGGCAAATGTAGATCTTGAGCCAAGACATGGTTACATATGTGTTTACACGAAAAACAAGCCTCGCTATCCATCGGCCGAGACAGGCAGTGACCGTGGTCCAAATATTGGATATTATGAGGTACAGCGATGGCCATCTTCTCTGGCTATTATAGAGGCTACCGGAGGGATCCATGGGAGTCGAGGCATGAGACGAAGGGTCTGAAGAGACGTGCAGTTTGAAAATTTTACTATGACTGGATGGTTACATGTTGTGGGGGGGGGGGGGGGGGAGAGTATGTGGAGGATATAGGGCGTGGCGGGCGCGTCGCGCGAGAAGGCTGGCCAGGGAAGATGACGGCAGCCAAGAGGCCATTACCGTGTTTCCGACGGATCGGAGCCCGGGCCCCACACTTGATGCGACGAGTGCCGCTGCCCGCTGCCCCAGCGCAAACACTAGTTGACTCCGACGATGTGCATCGTGTGGCATGGCGCGTTGAATCTCAGCGAGGGCCCATCGCCATTCTGCTACGTGACGAGGCCAGCAGTGGCGACGCCATGGAGAGATGAGACCGCATGCAGTGGTTGCATTGCTTCTACCTCCCAGTCGGTTCTCCTTTTCCAGGCGACGGTGGTCATCAGCGAGCGATGCCATGGACCACTGAGCCTGCGCAACTTCATCACTTCACGGGCCACTCATGTAGCCGACGAGCTGGATGCGTCGACAGGTGAGTGCCCATCGAGGGCCGAGCTACAGAGAAAGCAGCCCGTGCTCCTGCCAGCCCTGGCAGGCGAAGGCTTCTAGAAGGACGTTGGAAGGGACGAGCCGCGAGCTCTGTGGGCAGCGTCCATGCGCGGACATGGTTCAGGAGCCAGGGTTCCGGCACTGCTGAACGGCCTCGCAGGCCGCTGCCCATCAAAATTAGAGACGCGCTAGGGATGTGACGATTTGACTGGTCCCGCCATCTGCCATGCATATGAGCCTCAGGCGACGAGCCTCGACGTGGGCTCCAGCTCAGCGTCGTCGCGACTCTCCTTCAACAACTACCATGCAGTCTGCAGGAGGAGTGGGATGAATCAGTGGCATGATTTTGTGGTCATCGTGCCGAGATGCTGGCTGGATATGACGCTACCGTTTGGAGCGAGGAGCAGAGCACTGGCTCTTGTACGAGCTGGGCCAAAAGTACCCTTGCTCCGCTGAACTTGACATGAGTGGGGCCACGCCGGCTCAGACCACCTGCCATCGAGTACATGAACTCCATCCCTTCCTGCCCCCGGCCGCCCGGCAGGTTATGAGATGAGAATGGCGCTGCCCGGAACGTGATCAAGGTCACGAACCATACACTTGCACGACGATAGATCGAATCACAACCAACGTAAACACTCGCTGATAATATGATGACGAAACGATTGTGTGGCGGCCTCTCGCGTCTCTACTTGGTTCGAGGACGTCGAGAAGGGATCGACACTTTTATCTGGCAGGCTACAGCCCTACAAACATGAGGCTTCATGCGGGAATCAGTCCAGTCGCCTCTTCCCAGCCAGGAAGTTTTAAGAGCAAAGACAAATCAAGACAAAGGAAACATGTGCCATCCCGACTCACCGTCTCGCCAGCTTTCTTGAGAGCAGCTAGCTCGGAGAATAGGGGCTCATGTCTCGGCCCTAGTACCGTCTAGCTCCATGTCCTCTCATGAGCAGAGCCAGCATCACTAAATATGGGTGTGAATTAGCCTCCCACGTCGCTGCACTTTCGTCCATCGCGGCGGCATCTGGAATGTTCATCCTTGCCTCGACCCTGCACAAGGTCGCAGGGCTCCACACGCCATCGTCGACGGCCCAATTGCCACGGCGAGCAAAGTCGATGGACCCGCTCGTCAGCCTTTACGTAAATAGCCTGCATCGACGCGGCGCGCCACCTTTCCATCCTCGCGGGCCTGGCCATTGTCTGCGTGACGAGCCACGCCAATGTCTAAGACAAGATGCTCGACGCGCTGCGCACAACGGCACTGCGAAGGGACTGATGGCCAGCACCATATTCCGCCACGGTGACCGCTGAAGCGCCTCCCTGGCTCCCCGAACTGCCGCATTCCGGGAAGAATAAAGGGATGAAGACCTTGTTGAAAAAAGTCGATGATGTATTCGATATGAGGTGTGGATGCTATAGCTCCTCTCTCTCTCTCGTTTGTCTGCCTATAATTATTGCCAATTTTCGGCCGAGAGCTTTTTTTATTACGAATAGCTCCTTAGCTGAAGCTCTTTATCCACAATGGGTGAAGCACCGGTGGAGCCGGCAGGGTTTCCTATACTTTCTCCTACAGCCCAACTCGTTCCAAGCCCGTGAACCGCTGCCAAAAGTGCAGTTGGTTAAACGGAAACGAAAAAAAGAGAAACCCGAAAAACAAAATAACTCCGAAAACCAGAAGATTCCTCCATGTTGGATCCAAGAAATGTGCTCCTCACACATTTCCTCGTCCGTCACACCTTCCAAATGACAAATTTGCCCAATCTCCGCTGTGAGCAAAAGATAGGTTAGCAGGCACATTTTATCCAGCCGATGTCCTGCTATTGGTTAGTAAATGCCTGTTAGAGGCATCTGCCGAGAGCTTTATAGGGTAAGTAGGTTCTTTTTACCCATCGGCCAAAGATGAAGGTGCTTCCTCGACGGCGCCGTCTATCGCAACTCTTTGATCAATCAGGTACTCGGAGGAGCCTCGGCCCTTAGATGTCTTCCCTCTACAGCCAACGGAATGTGTTGGAAATCTAGACTTCGTAGGTTTGAAGGTTTAGATTTCTAGTTTGATCATCAAGATCAATTTACTTGTTTCTATTGCATACGATTAAGCTCAGCTAGAGGAAACGAGGTTCAGTAGTATCTGAAATGCAGTGGCTGGGAAATGATACCATGCGGTAATTGAGTGGCTGGTTGTAGCTAGATCACTAAAGCCTCGGGAATCTGTATTTAAGGATTGGCTTATTTGTACATATTAAACTAAGTTAACGGAGTATTATATATTATTAATTCAAATTGAGAAGAGAGTTCGATATCACATACAACTATCAACAAATTTTTGTCCGAAATTGTACACTTGTTCTTCGAGATATTTCCTCCTAGAAATCCTTGACAATTTATAACAGAATGAAGGCTGTTAACGTGATAGTTTTAAATGATTGTTTATTATTTTACGTCGTGCTAGCGCACTGCACGTTTCCAAGGTCACGTGCCGACGCTTCTAAGACCCCGGCTTATACTGACTAGGCCCCGGCCCTCATGCCAGCTGCCCCAAACTTCAAATATATCAAGAGATGCCTTCCGCTGAGCCTTCAATTAACTACAGCATAGACAGAATGATAAATTATGTGTACATGACGGAGGGGAGAATCGATCTACGACTGGTACAGATAGAGCTAGTTGTAAGTGATTGAGCTCCGCTGAATAGGTAATGTGGAGCGAGTGAAAAAGCTAGGAGCGAAATGGGTCTATTTATTGGTAGGCGTATTCACTGTGTAACTTCTAGCAGTATGTCGTCCATGATTCTTCTTGTAATCTCTATTCTCTTTTTTATTTATCTTTATTTAACGTCTGGCGGATCACCTCTATTCTCTTCAATGCTGCGGGAAGATTTTATTGAAGTGTGTCACATGACGTGACCACGTGACATCATGAACTACTCACAATGATCCGACACTATTCAAAACACTTAGTCTTCTGGTCCCACATGCTGAAGGCGATAGGCCCTTCTCGGGAGGAATAACGTGATTCGGGAAATCGGAAAGAAACACAATACCTTCTTGGTAGCATGACTCTCTTAGTGCCGACACTAGAATTGAATCTAAAGACATTGCTATTCATCTGGATGATGCTGTGAGGCCAGCCAGTCAGGCGCCGCAGGCTCGGGTGAATGTAAAAGAGGCACCCTCCATCACTCGCGCCTCGGGTTGAATTGCAGGTCGCCTGTCAATGTTAGAGATGTCTTTACATGGTATTTACCGTCTCGGGTAGTGTAATATGCCGTAGGGTCCTTGATAATAGGGCCCCCCCAGGCCCAAGTATCAAGGGGCCAGGGATGCAGCATATGGATATGGAGTCCAAATAGATCACCCACGTAACATCAGCCTTTTGCTTTTTTCAATCATTCAATGTGTATTCGGCTGCCTGGCCATGACACATGACCTCTGCTACCATTCCTGACAATTTCCAAATATTCTCGTGTTTCCTCCTGCCCCCTCTCGCGCTCGTCGCATGTATGCGAAATATTAAGATCGAGCTTCCGGCCTTCTTATCATACCGCACGTTCGCGTCGGTCGAAATTGTTGAGGAATCTCGCCCATCTACCTCCATCCCTCCACGGGATTAGAGTCGTCAAAATCTCCTCCGACCGCATCGAAACTGTCGGAGAACGCTGCACCCAAAGCAGCGTCAAAATAAACGTCACGATCAAAAGCTGCCACGAGAGCAGACTGCC